ACATGGTCAGGGCATGATCTCTTTTTCCATCCATCAACACCTCAAATCCTTCCCTTTTGGGACTGCTCTCAATCCCCTCATGACCCAGCCTTTATCCTCCATGTTTGGGATTGCTCCAGTCCAGGTGCAGCAGATTCTGCCCCTCTGCTCCTCTCTGGTGGTATTGGAGAACTCTTAATCTGTAGGTTACTGGGAACAAGGAAGACAAGATTCTGGTTTAGAGGATCCAGGGCACAGCCTTGAGGACGATCTAAGGCTGGAGGTTTGGGACAGCCTTGGCTGGTTATCCCCAGGGCATTTTTCCAGGCAGCAGATTTTGTCTGGCACAGCCTGGCAAATCATAAGGTTGGAGGATTTTTCTTCCCACAGCTCTGCATTGTCATGTCCTGCTTTTGAGGCTGTGTCCATCTGACCTTGGCAGCAGATTTGATGAGTTTGTTTTGGTTCCAGCACTGCTGGATGAGGGAAGAAGGACCAAAAACATGTACCTGAACCTGTGCACAGTATTTGTTCCATTGCCAGAAAACATCCTTGTCTCTAGGCTGGAGAGATGTGGATGTTAGTTGGACCATTTGGTTAAGAAGGAAATGGGTGGGATGGTTGCACTGAAAAAAAGTTATGAAAGAGTCAATGGCTCCATGTGTGGGTGGAGAAGAGGGATGAGTGGTGATCCTCAGAGACTCGTGATCAACCATTATCAATTCCCATTATTGTGAGGGACATGGAGAGTGCAATTGTGTGTCCCATCAGCGAAAATGTGAATAACAGTAGGATGAGAGGTATGCTTGATTGTCTGGAAGGAGGGGATGGCATCCAGAGTGTTCCGGACAGGCTGTGGAGATGGGCTGGTGGGGAGCTCGTGAAGGTCAGCATGGCAAGAGGAAGGTCCTGCACCTGGATTGGATTGATCTCAGTAATGGGTGTTGGATGGGCAATGAGTTAATTCACAGCATCCCTGAGGAGAAGGACTTACACACTTACACACTCATATAAATAAACTAAGTCACCCTAAAACTCTAAAAATAATTACAAATTAACCAAAAATAAAAACTTTAATCTCGCTAATAAAAAAACCCAAAAAAACAGGTACTAAAAAACCAGCACCATATAACCAACTACCAACCAAAACCCCACAATATACTCTTTTTACTAATAATTCTAACCACTTTATAAAAATAAATAAACTAAAAAACAGATAAAACCCCATACAACAAATCACAAAAACCACTAAAAAAAATCAAACCAACTTACTAAACTCAAAACTATTCAACTAAACCGAAATATTACTAAAAAAAAATAACCAAAACTCTACCTCTACACTAATTAATAAATAATAATCAATACACTATAAAAATAACTAAAATAATTTTAAAAACCCAAAGGATGAAGAATTGGACATGTCCTGGCCACATGAATGAGCTGAGCAAAATCTCCCATGTCCTGGAGTTATCCCCACAGTGAGGGCAGCACATTCTGCCCCTCTGCTGCACTCTGATGAGACTGGGCGTGTGTGTTCCACTCTGAGGACACAACAAAAGGGAAGACATGGACCTCCTCGAGCAGATCTGTAAATGGCCTTGGGAGATGATGAGGGTCTGCAGGAACTGGTGCCCAGCCAAAGTGAGCCCACCACCCAGGATGGCCTTGTGTCAGAGTCACGGATAGACCTGCATTGGGGGATCCAGGCATGTGTTCAAGCAACTGAAAGGTTGCTGTGGTGCACTGGAAGAAAAAGTGTACCAGTGGGGAGTGGAATTGGGGAAATAATTCCTCCAAGAGGTCTCAGAGCACTTTTTCAATAATCCCAAGAGCCTCAACAACACTGGCTTAATCTCAAAGTGTCTCAGGAGAAGAATGAAGAAGGAGACTTGTGAGGTTATGATGCAGAAAAACTTTATTGAGGTAGAACAATGAAAACTCAGGAGCAGCTAGCAGAAGGGAACTGGTCTGAGATGCTAAGTAGGGCGAACATCAGCCAAGGCCCCTTGCTTGCAGATGGTTTGGCCAGAGCACCAAGGCCTTCCTGGCCCACAGTGGGAGCAGCCAGGCAGAGGCACCCAATGGTGACTGGCTTGGGAGAAGGGGTTTTCAGCAGAGGAGCTGGACAGAGCCAAAGGGGCGATGCAGAGCACAGAGAGGGAGAAGAGGAGGAGGCAGATGGGCCATGTTTGCAGGCAGCGTGGGCTGGGCCCTGGGCTACTGCCTTGCTTGGTGCCCGGAGAGCAGGAGCCGGAAGAGCTGAGCCCGTTTGAGAGCCTTGGCCCAGAGATGTGTCCTCAATGCCTGCGATGTGTTCCAGGGAGTGGGTGGTTGGTGTCAGGGGTGATGCTCAGGGCCCTTAGCAGATGTAGCCGCCCCTTCTGCCATAGCAGCCCAGGCCTCCCAGGCCATAGCCAAATCCACGGCCATAGCCCAGGCTGTAGCCAAAGCCACCAAATCCGCCAGAGATGGGCTGTCCCTGCACACTGAGCTCAGTGCCCACGGCAGCCGAGGAGGTGGATCCGACGGCGGTGCTCTGGGGGAAGGAGGTCATGATGGGTCCTGGCAGGGTGACCAGCACAGGGGAAGGGTTGATGATGACGTGGGAGTCCTGGCATTGCAGGGCACAGGGCTCGTTGCAGCTGTTGGCCAGCGGGGTGGGTCCACAGGGACTGCAGATGTTGTTGCAGGCCATGGGTGCGGTGTGGAGGGTGCCTGGAAGAGAGAGGGGTGAGGGAGGGTAGTGGTGTGGGGGTGCCAAGGGTGGTGATGCAGGAGGGTGAGGGAGTGTGGAGGCTGTTGTGGGGCTGTGGGGAAGTGTGGGGGCTGCTGAGGCTGGGGCTGAGTGTGCTGGAAGAGAGAGATCAGGGGTGCAGAAGCAGGAGGGTCAGGGGATTGAGGCTCACCTGGTTGCTGGTGCAGGAGCAGGAGCAGATGGAGTCTGGAGAAGTGTGTGAGGGAGAGAGACTCTGGGCTGCCTTTTATGCTGGTCCTGAAGGGGTGGGACAGCCTTGTCCCATGGCCTTGGGGCATTTTTGAAGCATCAGCTCTTGCTTGGCCCAGCCTGGTGAGTCATAAGTGGGTCATGTTTTCCTTCCTGATGTTCTGTGATTCCATGCCCTCTCCTTGAGGCTGTGTCCATGTGACCTTGGCAGCAGCTTTTAATTGGGATCAATACAGGCCAAGGTTTTGGTCTTGTTTTGTCTCAGGAATGTAGAAGATGCAAACAAAGCCTAAAAGAATTTGGGTGTTTTCTCCTGTCTTCAACTGACCTTCAGCCGTTCCTGTTGGCCACACCTATTTTTATGCAGCCCAGGATATGATTGCTTTTCTGGGCTAAAAATTCACATTGTTGTGTCATTTTGGTCCACCAGAACCTGCAGTTCTGCTCTGTGGAACTGCTCTCAAGGAGTTTTCTCCAAAGCCATGCTTATGTCTGGGACTCTCCCAACCCATGTGCAGAACCTTGAACTTGGAATTGTTGAACCACAAGAGGTTCTTATGTTCTCAACATTCCCAGTAACCCTCCTTCTCAGGTTTTGTGGTGCTGAAATGGCTCCTGAGGTATTAAAGAGTCCTTTTTCCCAGCCCCGCAACCACAGAAGAAGTCAGGATTCCTCGGCTCTGATTTTCAAGGTTGTTTATTTTCTCTTATCTAATACATTCTTTTTCAGACCCGTTGAGGTCTGTCTGGCAGGTTGCTTTGCAGCACACTGAATGCCCTTGGGGTGGTGTTGTTTTTTATCCTAAGATCTACGTGTACTTTATTTACAATAATTTTCCAATTCCTATCACCTATGTTAGACAGACTGTCTTTACTCTAAACCAACCCAGAAGTGTCACCATCACAGCAGAAGATGGAGGGGAAGACGAAGAAGAGGAGGGAGTGGACAGCCCCAGATTCCTCCATCTTGCCTCTTCAACCCCCATTCTAAATCCCCAAAATTCTACTTTTTCACCCTGTGACAAGTTAGCTATCTTTCTACTCAAACTCTTGTGGCTTGTAAATCCTCACACAACATTGGTAATTGTTTCCATGGGTTAAAATCAAAGGCACAGGTGCCTTTGACTCCTGTCAGAGGAATGTCCTGGGTTCTGACACCTCCTGATGGCATCCTTCATTGTTCTTGTGTCGAACACAAAACTCAGCTTCCTGGCACCTGCAAACATGCTGAGGGTGTTCTCGATCTCACTGCTCATCTCCTTGATAAAATATTCAAAATCATCAGTCCAAGGCAGAGGCCTGGAGGCCTCATCACTGGCCTCTACCTGTACAGAGAGCCATTGACCATCACTCTCTGTCTGTTCCTCATCCATTCATTTGACCTCCTTTGAAACCCATCTGTCTGCAGTTTAGAGACAAGGGTGTCCTGTAGGACGATGTAAAAGCCCTGACAGAAGTTCAGGACGACAACAGTTGCCCTTTCCTTGGCAACCAAACCATTTGAGAAGGGAAGGTCCTTGTAGTCCTGCTGGAGCTTAAGTGGATCATGAAGTAGACATGCACTTTTTGGAATAAAAATCTGCAGCAGTTACCAGGATAGGTAATGTAGGAGAAGAAATACAAGCAGGCTGAAGGAGTTGACCCTCCAGCCCCCACAACTGTTGGGGCTCCAGAGTGGAACAAGGACATGGACATGCTTAACCAAGAGCACTGGAGCGAGGCCATGACATTGACAATACTGGCGTATCATCAAAATGAGGCGAAGCTGAAAAGTTGGGGAGTTTCTTGAGGCAGGAGGCAAGAATGCAAATGGGACATGTTGTCAATATGGCATGACCTCACTGATGACTCCCCAGTTCTCCTTAGCTTTGGTTGCAGTTGCATCTTATACATGTCTTGATAGATACCATCAAAAAAACCCCATGCTGGTCTTTAATTCTCAAATTATGAACCGCCGTCAATGTCACATGGATACAAACAGAAGAAGAAGACATGACACTGCAGAACATCAGGAAGGAAAACACTCCCCAACTCATGACTCACCAGGCTGAGCAAGGCAAGAGCTGCTGGCTCAAAAATGCCCCAAGGCCATGGGACAAGGCTGTCCCGCCTCTCCAGGACCAGCATAAAAGCCGGCCCAGAGCCTCTCTCCCTCACACACTTCTCCTCAAGTCTTCTACTCCAGCTCCTGCTGACAACCGGGTGAGCTTCAAGCCCCAAAACTCCTGCTCCCGCACCATTGAACCCTCTCTTCCAGCATGCTCACCCCAGCCTCTGCAGCCCTCATGCCTCCCCACAGCCCCACAACAGCCTCCTCATTTCCTTCCCTCCCAACCCATCACCCCTGCCCTCTCTTCCAGGCACCGTCCACACCACACCCATGGCCTGCAACAGCCTCTGCCGTCCCTGCGGACCCACCCCGCTGGCCAACAGCTGCAACGAGCCCTGTGCCCTGCAATGCCAGGATTCCCGCGTCATCATCAACCCTTCCCCTGTGCTGGTCACCCTGCCAGGACCCATCATGACCTCCTTCCCCCAGAGCACCGCCGTCGGATCCACCTCCTCGGCTGCCGTGGGCACTGAGCTCAATGCCCAGGGACAGCCCATCTCTGGCGGATTTGGTGGCTTTGGTGGCTTTGGCTACGGCCTTGGCTATGGCCGTGGATTCGGCTATGGCCTGGGAGGCCTGGGCTGCTATGGCAGAAGGGGTGGCTACATCTGCTAAGGGCCCTTGGCACACCACGCTCCCTCTTGGGGAAGGAAGGATCTGATGATCTGCCAAAGCCTCCTCCTAGCAAAGGACCTCGGCTGATGGTTGCCCTACTTGCACTTCAGCCTGGCTCCCTTCCATTTGCTGCTTATTGCCTCTCAGTCTTCTACCTCAATAAAGTTTTCCTGCATTGCATTTTAAGTTGAGTTCTTCTTCTGATGCCAAGACCCTTCCAGTCTCATGCAAATTAATTCTCTCAGACAGGCTTCCAGAATCCGCTGGGTTGGCTGAAAAAGTGCTCCAAGACTTCTTTTAGCATTTATTTCCCTATTCTACTACCAACTGGCACACTTTGCTCTTCCAGTGCATCCCACAAATCCTTCAGTTACTGAATCACATATCTGGATATCCTAAGGCAGATCTATCCCTGCCTCTGGGCCAAGCCTCTCTGGGTGGTGTGTTCACTTTTGCTGGACAGCAGTTGCTTCTGTCCCTCATCATCCTCCATGCCCTTCTACAGATCCCGTGAAGCACATCCACCTCTTCCTTGTCTTTGTGGGCTCAGAGTTCAACACAGAACTCGGATTTTAGTACAGGAGAGCAGAGGGTGAGATTCCCCCACTCTCTTGTGCTTCCCGTGCTGTGGGATGAACCCAGGACGCAGGGGGATATCCTGGTCAGTGAGTGCACATGGCTGGAGCACATCCAATTCTTCATCCACCAACACCCCAAGTGCTCCTCCTTGGGCTCTCTCTCCCCTCATCACCCATCCTTTATCCTGCATGTTTGGGATTGCTCCAATCCAGGTGCAGCAGCTTCTGCGCCTCTGGTGCTATTGGAGAACTTTTTATCTATGGATTACTGGGATCAGAGAAGACAAGACTATGCTGGGTAAGATCAAGAGTATGGCCTTGGTGATGATCCATGGGTGAAGGTTTGGGACAGCCTTGGCCCGTGACATTGGGACATTTTCCAGGCAGAAGCTGTTGCCTGGCACAGCCTGGTGAGTCACGAGATTGGGGATGTTTTATTTCAAACAGCTCTGGAATTCCGAGATCTGCTCTTGAGGCCATGTCCATCTGACCTTGGTGACAGCTTTAGTGGATTGGTATTGCTTCCACTATGGGTGGATGAAGAGAGGGAGAAACAGTATCCTGTAGCTGGACTTGTCCAAAACTTTTGTTCCTGTGCCTGACAACATCGTTGTCTCTAAGGTGGGGTTGATAGTTGGACCTCTGGCTGGATAAGGAATGGGCGGGATGGTCTCACTCAAAAGTTATGGTCACTGGCTCCATGTCCCAGTGTGGAGAACAGGGATTAGTGGTGATCCACAGGGACTGAAAATGGAACCATTGTCACTTCCCATCTTGGTCAGGGACATGGAGAGTGGGTTTGAGTGCCCCCTTGGCAAGACTGGAGATGACACCAAGGTGAGTGGTGTGGTTTATGGTCAGAGGGAAGGAATGGCATCCACAGGGTTCCGGACAGGCTGTGGAGATGGGCTGGTGTGAAGCTTGTGAAGGTCAGCAGGGCCAAGAGGAAGGTCCTGCACGTGCATTGGATCAATCTTAGTAATGGGTGTTGGATGGGCAATGAGTTAATTCAGCATCCCTGAAAAGAAAGAATTACACACTTACACACTCATATAAATAAATCACTCTGAAATTCTAAAAATAATTACAAACTAACCAAAAAATAAAAACTTTATTCTCACTAATAAAAAAACCCCAAAAAAACCCAAATACTAAAAACCCAGCACCATAAAACCAACTACCAACCAATACCCCACAATATACTCTTTTTACTACTAATTCTAACCACTTTATAAAAATAAATAAATTTAAAAACATATAAAACCCCACACAACAAATCACAAAAACCACTAAAAAAAAAATCAAACCAACTTACTAAACTCAAAACTATTCGACTAACCCTAAACATTACTAAAAAAATAACCCTCTACCTCTACACTAATTAACAAATAAAAACCATTACTCTATAAAAACAACTAAAAAAATATAAAAAAAAGGACTGATGAGGAATTGGAAATGTCCTGGCCACATGAATAAGCTGACCAAAAGCCCCCATGCCCTGGGGTTATCCCCACAGTGAGGGCAGCACATTCTGCCCCTCTGCTGCTCTCTGATGAGACTGGGCGTGTGTGTTCCACTCTGAGGACACAAAAAAAGGGAAGACATGGACCTCCTCAAGCAGATCTGTAAATGGCCTTGGGAGATGATGAGGGTCTGCAGGAACTGGTGCCCAGCCAAAGTGAGCCCACCAGCCAGGAGGGCCTTGTGTCAGAGTCACGGATAGACCTGCATTGGGGGATCCAGGCTTGTGTTCAAGCAACTGAAAGGTTGTTGTGGTGCACTGGAAGAACTAAGTGTACCAGTGGGGAGTGGAATTGGGGAAATAATTCCTCCAAGAGGTCTTGGAGAACTTTTTCAATAATCCCAATAGCCTCAACAACATTGGCTTAATCTCAAAGTGTCTCGGGAGAAGAAAAAAGAAGGAGTCTTGTGAGGTTATGATGCAGAAAAACTTTAATGAGGTAGAACAATGAAAACTCAGGAGCAGCCAGTGGAAAGGAGCTGGTCTGAGGTGCAAGTAGGGCAAACGTCAGCCAAGGCCCCTTGCTTGCAGATGGTTTGGCCAGAGCACCAAGGCCTTCCTGGCCCACAGTGGGAGCAGCCAGGCAGAGGCACCCAATGGTGACTGGCTTGGGAGAAGGGGTTTTCAGCAGAGGAGCTGGACAGAGCCAAAGGGGCGATGCAGAGCACAGAGAGGGAGAAGAGGAGGAGGCAGATGGGCCATGTTTGCAGGCAGCGTGGGCTGGGCCCTGGGCTACTGCCTTGCTTGGTGCCTGGAGAGCAGGAGACGGAAGAGCTGAGCCCGTTTGAGAGCCTTGGCCCAGAGATGTGTCTTCAATGCCTGAGATGTGTTCCAGGGAGTGGGTGGTTGGTGTCAAGGGTGATGCTCAGTGCCCTTAGCAGATGTAGCCGCCCCTTCTGCCATAGCAGCCCAGGCCTCCCAGCCCATAGCCAAATCCACGGCCATAGCCCAGGCCGTAGCCAAAGCCACCAAATCCGCCAGAGATGGGCTGTCCCTGGGCATTGAGCTCAGTGCCCACGGCAGCCGAGGAGGTGGATCCGACGGCGGTGTTCTGGGGGAAGGAGGTCATGATGGGTCCTGGCAGGGTGACCAGCACAGGGGAAGGGTTGATGATGACGTGGGAGTCCTGGCATTGCAGGGCACAGGGCTCGTTGCAGCTGTTGGCCAGCGGGGTGGGTCCACAGGGACTGCAGAGGCTGTTGCAGGCCATGGGTGTGGTGTGGAGGGTGCCTGGAAGAGAGAGGGGTGAGGGAGGGCAGGGGTGTGGGGGTGTGAGAGGCAGTGATGCAGGAGGGTGAGCAAGGGTAGAGGGTGTTGTGGGGCTGCGTGGAGCTATGAGGGCTGCTGAGGCTGGGGCTGAGTGTTCTGGAAGAGAGGGATCAGGGGTGCAGAAGCAGGAGGGTCAGGGGATTGAGGCTCACCTGGTTGCTGGTGCAGGAGCAGGAGCAGATGGAGTCTGGAGAAGTGTGTGAGGGAGAGAGACTCTGGGCTGCCTTTTATGCTGGTCCTGATGGGGTGGGACAGCCTTGTCCCATGACCTTGGGGCATTTTTGAAGCATCAGCTCTTGCTTGGCCCAGCCTGGTGAGTCATTAGTGGGTCATGTTTTCCTTCCTGATGTTCTGTGATTCCATGCCCTCTCCTTGAGGCTGTGTCCATGTGACCTTGGCAGCAGCTTTTAATTGGGATCAATACAGGCCACGGTTTTGGTCTTGTTTTGTCTCAGGAATGTAGAAGGTTCAAACAAAGCCCAAAAGAATTTGGGTGTTTTCTCCTGTCTTCAACTGACCTTCAGCCGTTCCTGTTGGCCACACCTGTTTTTATGCAGCCCAGGATATGATTGTTTTTCTGGGCTAAAAATTCACATTGTTGTGTCATTTTGGTCCACCAGAACCTGCAATTCTGCTCTGTGGAACTGCTCTCAAGGAGTTTTCTCCAAAGCCATGCTTATGTCTGGGACTCTCCCAACCCATGTGCAGAACCTTGAACTTGGAGTTGTTGAACCACAAGAGGTTCTTATGTTCTCAACATTCCCAGTAACCCTCCTTCTCGGGTTTTGTGGTGCTGAAATGGCTCCTGAGGTATTAAAGAGTCCTTTTTCCCGGCCCCGTGACAGAAGTCGGGATTCCTTGGCTCCAATTTTCAAAGTTGTTTATTTTCTCTTATCTAATACATTCTTTTTCAGACCTGCTGAGGTCTGTCTGGCAGGTTGCTTTGCAGCACACTGAACTCCCTTGGGGTGGTGTTAGTTTTTTATACTAAGAACTACGTGTACTTTATTTACAATAATTTTCCAATACCTATCACCTATGTTAGACAGACTGTCTCTACTCTAAACCAACCCAGAAGTGTCACTATCACAGCAGAAGATGGAGGGGAAGAAGAAGGAGGACAGGACAGCCCCAGATTCTTCCATCTTGCCTCTTCAACCCCCATTCTAAATCCCCAAAATTCTACTTTTTCACCCTGTGACAAGTTAGCTATCTTTCTACTCAAACTCTTGTGGCTTGTAAATCCTCACAGAACGTTGGTAATTGTTTCCATGGGTTAAAATCCAAGGCACAGGTGCCTTTGACTCCTGTCAGAGGAATGTCCTGGGTTCTGACACCTCCTGATGGCATCCTTCATTGTTCTTGTGTCGAACACAAAACTCAGCTTCCTGGCACCTGCAAACATGCTGAGGGTGTTCTCGATCTCACTGCTCATCTCCTTGATAAAATCTTCAAAATCATCAGTCCAAGGCAGAGGCCTGGAGGCCTCATCACTGGCCTCTACCTGTACAGAGAGCCATTGACCATCACTCTCTGTCTGTTCCTCATCCATTCATTCGACCTCCTTTGAAACCCATCTGTCTGCAGTTTAGAGACAAGGGTGGCCTGTAGGACGATGTAAAAGCCCTGAC